AACTGAAGATGTATATTTATCTCCCTCTAGCAAAGGCATTCCACTATACGATGTCATATTTTCTTTCTCTTTCTTTACTCGTAGAAGTAGTTATCTAGTATTTTCGCCGTTTTTAAGCGCCGCGATGTTGGTTCATGACGTGTCTATATATAATACGTCATTGGTTGCATATAGGTAATCAATTAAAGCAAGAATTGACTTGAGTGGTCTAAACAAAAGGTACATAATTATGGTATCATGTATAAGAAAGAGTCTTAAAGTTATTGAATACAATTGGTCTTGTTTATATAAGAAAATGGTATCGTGTAAATGAGCCTTTTTATGGAACGATCGCTTTGTTTCTAATTATAAAAAGAGAAAGTAACTACCGTCATCAATATCAACAATTTTTTTTTATTGTAATAGGCTCACCAATTCAATTATGAATTTGCGCCTCCTCAGTCCTCTATAGAAGGCTCTTGGGCTCAGCTTGAAGAATGCAGTTAAAGGGATTAAAGTCCGACATTTTTATGCCATATGTGTGTTTTTTAAGTGGTCCCGCGGCCTTGGCCGGAGCTAGAGAACGAGAATGTTTTACTCAGTACAATCCCTCTCACCTCACCCTGGGCGTGAGCATCATTTGATGAATTTCTGGTCGAAATAAAGGGCAGAAAGCGGGCACATGGAGCACACTAGCAAGCGATAGGCGTCGTTCATGAAACACTAGACCACTAAAGTAAAATTTCGTCGTAAATATGGGTTACAGGGGGAACAGGGAAAGATAAATTAGGTTTCTGATACCCTTGTATGCTGCTGCTATTGCTAGGACTCTGTCAAATGTGCAAGACTAATGCGATAGACACGTTTATAATGTTCAGCGCTCTGATTGGCTTACTCCAAGTAAATCAACCAATCACAGGTCTAACGCGGTTACGTTTTGATCGCTTTACCGTTAAATATCTCTTACTCAGCAGATTTTAACTCAGTAGACGAGTTTTATGATACTTACCAGAAAGATGTACTGACAAATAAATGTATTTAATTCTTCTCCGTCTTCATACAGCTTTTGAGGCTAAAGCAATTAATAACCCCACCGTAATTTCTGCGATCCTTCGTTTACTTACCCTTAATATTCGATATTTTACCCTTTTAATAAAGGGTTTATCGAGGTCTTTTATTTATATTCGAGTCTTTATTTAATCAATGGTTATTAATTAATGGTGTTAAGGTGTTTGAAAGGGGAGGTTTTAAAACGGTAAGGGTTGCTTTTATTAAATACAAGTGTTACCTGTTTGTTAACGATATTTCCGTTAAAGTTTAAACCGAGAATAGACATAAGTCTTTACAGAAAAAGTTTCTTTTTCTTGTTTTTTTACTTGATCTAAAGAAAAACTTTTGAAAATATAATTAAAGTTTTAAAAATATATTTAAACAATATTACACAAGTTGTTGACCAGATACTTTTATTAATTGTTAAAAACTCTAAATAAATGTATGTTAATGATTTGCCATATCTCTGTCCTTGTCACCTATTCTGTATACCTACAAACGTGGAAACTTCTCAAAACTATCTCCTTTAACACAACAAACCGGAAAATCGATAATAACACATCATCCCATTTCATTAATAACACTAAGGGTTAAATAAATTACTTTGGTACTTCACCTATGTAAGTAAATTGCGCCTTATGGTACCAAATGACCCAATTACTTGAACCAACGGAGTATTATACCGTGTTCTGTAACCATTAAGCTATTGGATTAACCTAGCCAATTGAATGAAGTCGGAAAAAAGGTTATTTGATTAGATAATGTGGTTAAATTGTTTTCATTGTTGTGAATGATATATATTTTTTTTATTAGTACCTGACGTACGTTTGCTGTAATATTGACCTCCACATTTATGACCTACATAAATGTGTATTGTATAATCGGGATCGGTCCTATTTCTCCTAAGCTCGGGTTACTCAGTAGCCTTTTGGGTGTGCAGCGCTTCATCCGGTTATTAGATTTTGTTTTGTTTTACTCTTATGTGCCAATTGTATCCACTCAATACAATTGGCACATAAGATGTGTCTTGTTAACATACCGAACCATCGAATTTTCTAGTCGTGAACAAAATAAAATAACCATGTCAATGACTCGACGAAAAACCACATTAGCCAATCACGGGCCGTCATTCAAACATTGGCATTCGAAAAAAAGTTAAGGACTGATTTAGTTAGGCACTGGCTGTACAGCACGGCCTTTGATCCTAAGGAGTTCTGTAACCTCTTCATTTTATACACTATAGTTAATTTTTTAATCCAAATGTGAAGATTATAGAAAACCTTCTTACGTAGAAGAGGCCAATAATTCAGTTGTGAACTGTCACTGACGTTAATTTAATAATGTTATAGAACAACTCTTTGTGTGATCCCCAGTGTGATCCATAACTTGTGGTTCCGGGTCTGGGTGTGATGTGTAGTGTAGGTATATGAAATTGTATGTTTATCTATAAAGAAGCAGAAAAATGTCGTTGACATTAAATATGCTCTTAGTCTTATATTCATGTATTTAAGTAACTGTATTCTCCATACAAAGCAACAATAAAGTCACTTTAAGGGAGCCACGTATGTCCACTAATATTACTTACTTTATCATAAACACAAACAAACAAACACTGCAACAGTAAACACGCGGGCATAACTCTTGGTTCGCAGTTAGTTTTAATCAGTCGTTAGCCGGTGGCTCCCCCTAGGATCGTTAACAAATGGGCCGGCAACATTTCGCGACGCAATCCAGATGCGTTTAATAGCTTTTTAACCCAATTATGAAGGCAACTTCATAACTTCATAGGACATTTTGAGACATAGAAATGTCTATATTATTAATTAAGTATAGTTTACATGTTATTAATTATGATAGTACTGCACGCATTTGTATACAAGTGTTACCTATGAAACCGAATTTTGTAAACCCTTTTTAATATTTTAATATTTTTATTATAGCTAGATATCGGTGCAGTAATCAGGTGCAATCCAATGGTACCCCCATTGCATTATAGTCAATTGCTGCAGTGCATATTGATCTCCATCAAAACAAAAACAACTAGGTAACCTTTTTATTATTAGAAAATTTTATTTAACTTCATGTAAGTTTGTCTGGTGGAATCTTGCAAGTTTTGAAGCAGGTTTCGTCAATTGATTAAGCTGCAAGTTGGTACACGTTTAGTTTACACAACAGTACATGTTAAGCTGTATAACTGGTTACTCTACACCCGGTTTCCGAAAGGCCGATCAATGTTAAAATCAATTTAATCTCTTGTCAAGTCATCTGATTGGTTGACTGAATTATCAACAACCAATCAGATGACTTGACAAGAGGTTTAACAGGAGATTAGTTAATTTTAGCGTTGACAAGCCTTTCAGAAACCGGGTGTAAATCCAAAAAACAAAGTTTTAGTTCTAGTTGGCCAATAAGCCTATTGGCCGACTTGATAAAGGATTCTTAAAAAGATTTTTGATTTAAATGTATATGTAATTTTCATGGATGTTAGAAGAAATAATCCAGATTTCGTTTTACCACAATTGAGACATTTTCAGTTATGTTATATGAGCCCTGTAATAAAAGCCCCAATACACCGGGACAAGACATAATTTTACTTTAGAGGCATTTCAGAAAAACTGAAATCGACTACGATAAATATAATGCCTGCCCCAAGAATGAAACCAGAGGCCGTCCGGACCAACAAGGCATTTCCTGGAAATAACTTAAAATGGCGAAGTAGCCCTAGTACTTGGCACTCACTCTGTCACGTCTAGCCTTCAATTACTGTCGGGTTCTGTTTTTGGGAACATTTATTTGTATAAACTATTCACTCGTCTATTGCCTCCGGTCCGGTAGAAATACAACGCAAGAGTTGCTTCACGCCCGTTCCTGTTAAGGGGGCTTATTCATGAGAAATTCTTATTTAAAAAAAAAAATATAATTTTGCACCTCCGAATCGGGGGCAGATTGAGATGCTATACGTACTTTATGACTACGAACCTTATGTACCTTTTGGATGCAAATAAAATATTCTTGATATTGGTTTTTAAACGACTTCAAAAAAGGAGGAGGTTCTAAATTCGACGAGTATTTTTTTTTTTCATTTTTTTGTTTATGTAAACGATCTGCAAACGAGCAGACGGATTACCAAATGGTAAGCAATCAACGCCGCCTATGGACACTTGCAACGGAGGAATTACGAGTGCGTTGCCGACCTTTGAGGGATTAGGGATTTGGAGATTTAGGGAATGAGGAGGGATTGGGGGAGGGAAGGATTGGGCCTCCGGTAACCTCACTCACACGGCGAAACACAACGCTGTGGTTGATTCACACCGGTTTTCTGTGAGGCCGTGGTATCACTCCGGTCGATCCGAACCATGCATTCGTGCCAAAGCTTGGCTCTACCACACTTAAAATATCATCATAGAATCATAGATCCTTTCAGTGCTTATAACTCGGAAAAAGTCAAATGCCTGAGAAGTCGTTTGCCTGACTAGCACGAACACATAAATGATATTAACTAAATAATTTTGAACACTGTAAGTGTGATTCAAAAATGTATCATTCTTGTATCTACGCCCATCAGTTAAATTTCCAAAAAACTGCCGCCAATTTTTACTCCTACCCACTTTTGATGGTTTTTGAACAACATGACTCTTTGTTTGCAACATTGCACATCATGTTCTTGTAGATGATATAACATAAGTTACTTATGAAGTAGGTATGTATAGGCATCTGGTTTCTAGGGATCGCCTTGTAGTCTAAATGTTAATGCGTGGACCACGGGACAATACTATGCAAATATCATCCGCCTATATTGGGCCGGTAATGTATGCGGTCGGTCCAACGCCCGAACTAATACTTGAAATACCTGTGTACTACATATACTTTTATTTAGACACTGTTTTGTATCAAATGTTGACGATTCTTGTAAAACCATTTGTTAACCTAAAAGTTTACTAACCTAATAAGGAATAAGGTTTAATTTGCCAGTGTTTTCCAATATTAATCGTTAGGGGTAAAAAATAAAAACAATTTTTCGTTGACACAGACTTCCTTTTTATTACAAATATTAATTGCACATAAGAACATTTCATACAAAAATATATTCTTAATTAAAAAGATTCCCACTAAAACAAACTAGAAAACCGCAATATAGATCGATATTACATAAATACAATAATTAGAAAATTTTGATTATATGCGCAATCATTAGTGGAAATGCAAAAATATTTTATCAAATCAGATGTCAAGAAGTTTCCCTAATTATAAAACAGAAATTATAAGTAATATTTGTTTAATTATAAAATTTGTTTCCTAATAACTTATTTCCGAGTACACTTTAATTGACCAAACTTCAAGCCAAAGTAAAATGGAGACATTTATTCATTAAAATACGATTAGAATTTATCGACAATATTCTTCTTTATTTTTAATAACAATTCAACAATCTAGCTAACTTTATATACAGTTGTGATGGAAAATGGTAACATTATATCTTTGACTTGAATAATTTCTCTATGGCCGTCATCCGACGGACGCTAACATTGCGATTAACCTTCCTACAGTATCATATCACATATTTTATAGTTATCAACATGCTGTCATATAAAAACATATAAATTTTGAGACTTTATACAAATTGAGATTGAAATTTGTGACAATATTGTATTACAATAATTATTTTATTTATCATTAAATATAAAAATCTAAATTCTAAAAATATACCTAGTCGGCAGAAATAAATGAATGATTATTTTTTACTAATTACAAATTATAAACTAAGAAGCTTTACTACTTATAAAATAAAGTTAAAATTATGACGAGTCAAGGCATATTTTAGGACTATGTAAATAATTGTCTAGTAGAATCAACATTTTTTAAACTATATTCTTCGTCAACGTCAACTTGAAAATGTTCAAAATTAATAATTGTACAATTTTTAAAACACTATTGGTAACTTTGGGCCTATGAACTAATATTACAATTAAAATACGTTTAATTACAATTAAGGTTGTAGCGCCATACTAAGAGAGCTCCTCAGATCTTCAACCAGATTCATAATTACGTTACAGTGTATTGTGGCATGGCTTATGGCTTATTTCAATGACTTTCCATGGAAACATGTTTACCGATAACCAGGTTTATGGATGTTAATATTCATGCACACATTTTGAATCATGCTGTATACTAAGCTCTTTTGGTAACAGCAATAAAGACTCTATTGGTAATGTTTTAGGTGCTTATTTTGCATAAGTGCCTATTAAAAGAAATTCTATGGTCAGTGTTACCAAAACAGTTATTGGTGAACAATGAATTAAATTAAACAATAATGCAATTAAGACGTCCAAGTAATGTCGTTGCGTATTAAACAATGAAACGTCCGAGATGTTATTGACGTAGTGTTGTTTGCACGACAGAGAGGGAAGATAACACATGTGTAATGCAAATTACCTGAGCGGCTAACATCAAAGGCAGGTTTGATTAAGTCGAGTGAGCGCTAAGTCAAGATGTACCGGCAAACATGGAACCTCTAATATAAGACTTGTGTTCCTTTAACATAGTAACGAAACTTAGTTTAAATCTATTCTAGTCTTAATCGATTCATTATCGATTATTATATTTTCTCGACGTTTGCAAAAGATGTCATATATGTTTGGGTATTGAATGATTGATATGAAATCGATTCTTTAGCAAACTTCCGAGATAATGTTGAAGGAACACCTGACATCATCGTCCAAGTATCACAATGGTAAAAGTGTGGCGTCGAAACCATCGCTACACGAACTTCTTTGTTCAACTTACAATTTTATAACTAGCTATATTACATACATACATAGTTATTTATAATAACGAGACTTACGTACTTCGTGATGGATATATCGATACATAATACCGACAAATTTCGAATTAAATTCTTAAAACTACAATTGGTGTTATATTTTCGTTTATAGAAAAGAACACGTCAGGCAGAGCGTTCGTTATAATATAGTCCATTTGTTACGACGTAATAAATAGCTACGTATTTGTATCGATAAATTGATCTAGTCGGTAATATCCTTTGTCAGTATTATGGTCGAGTACTGGTTGTTGGAGAGCAGGTGCCTGCATTTACAAAGCAGAGACGCCAAATATTTCGCAAAGACGGTAAATGTACGCTAAAGTCACGGTATTCGATAGAACATATGTCAAAGACAAGGTAAGCACGGACATTTTAACGATCGATAGAAAGATAGTCGAGTAAATAAATTAATTATAACAGAAGTAACTACATCGTATTGACTATGTCGATAAAAAGTCCGCGCTGTACACTAAACTCTTTATTCCGTTGGCTTTTAAAAAGCTTTTAAAGTGTGTCTAACAACATCCAACACAAATATTAATAATGGTCCTCATTCAAGACACAATAAAGAAATTAACAATAGTTCAACTTGTATCGGCTTCATAGTGTAACAAACTAGCAAAGTTGACTTACTGCTTATGTCTCTATGGAGTGTAATTAAGAACAACTAAAGATTTCAATAACTAGGAAGTTGTGACCGTACATCACTTATTGACTTACCTACGCTCAGGGCGGGTTCACTTGACTCCCATACCGTATTTACACATTCGTGAGATTCGGGATGGCGAGGCGAAAAACGAATACACACACACACATACGTAAATAGTTTTTGGCCGTCGCTATTCGTCTCGCGATTCGCGCAAACTCGATGGCAGCGGTTTTTCGAACGCGAATCAAAGGACCAGAATCTAAGAATGTTTGGCGCACACGAATGTGTAGATGCAGTATCAGATGATAACACGTTACGTCATAACTTACTTCTAGGATCACAGCGCGCGCTATGTGGAATGTTCGAGGAGTGGTTCGTGTTCGCACTCGATGGGTCGTTCTTGGTCCGTGCATGACGTAAGCACGGTGACGCCAACGTCGTCCGTGCAGGGCAGCCGGGAGTACTCCACGCCGCGCGCACTTGTCTTCCTCGTCTTCTGCTCGCGAGGACTATGCGCCTGTGAAGCAAGAAGGGAAATTATCCCTTTGTTTTACGTCTGATTTCCCTAATAATAGTACTACCAAACAAGGGCGCTGTGTGTGAAAAATACATATGAGTTTCTGTATAAAACACACATGACGTTTTTTATTTTACACAAATCTAAATATGCCTCAAAAAATAACGTCATATGTTATAAATTTTAGAATATTGAAAACAAAAATTTTACTTTCTTCTCTAGAACAGAATACAGGATATTTATTTATCATTCATTCAATTCTCGTCGCCTGAAAACACTCGGTCCTCGGGTACGGTCAGATAAAACAACAATTCCTAAAACTTCCCCGTTCATCAGCATATGAAAATACAGGCGAAATAACTTTGTGTTTTCCTAGTTTATTATTCCAACAAAATAAAAAAAGTATTTATGTGACATCACAAGGCATAATCGTATACGGACATTAATGAGGATATCCGCATAAAGTATGAATGTTTATAGATGTACAGATCGTTATTATGGTTTATTAGTATTGTGTGATGAGAGATGGGATCGCTGATAGTACTTGCATAAACATATTTGTAATATATTTCAATTTATATAAAGATATATACACAAGTATTGCTACTTATATTTACTCATTTGTTTTTAAACCAAAACTTGTTTACGACCATTTTAGAAAAAGAATTCAAGGAGATAGAGCGACAGTTTTACTTTATAAAACTTAAAAACAGGTATGAATAAGCTCACTTTTTATTAAAATTAACCAAGTTTAATTGAAATAGGTTTAGTAGTTTCCATGTTTTAGGGTTAGTCAACATTTACATTTTAATAAATAAAAGAAAAGTAGTTGAATTAATATCGGTGTGCATAAGAAAAATGTTTGACACTTTTTAATAAGCCGAACCAAACAGCAGCAAGTCTTATAACCACTTTCTAACTCCTAACGTAGGGAAAGACTGTTTATAACATATAAAAAAATCTATTATTACTTATTGTTAAAACTGATTGGTCAATTCTATTCTATTATTTAGAAGGTCTAATCGCAGTTAAGCCGCTGTTTCATTACTTAACTGACGTTGACCGTACTCGAGTGACCGCGTAGGTCGTTCATTGTTTAGTTTTTTCTCTTTAAAAGATCTCATTATTGAGAGAATAATGTGGTAAGATTAGGGATTTAAAAACTCAGGCGAGACTATTTGTGTGACCTTTTTGAGGCTTAAGTGCATAGGGGTGAAGCAAGCTTTTGAACTGATTCAATAAACTTGTTAGTTACTTATAAAGAAAGTAGTTACTGCGAAAATCATTCCTTTCAACTCAATGAAACAATGAACTTATTTTTGCAAATAGACTATAAAACGGCACTTTTACACGTCAAAAATATACATACAAATAAAGATGAAGCCAGCATTAATAATCTGACTACCCTGAAAAGAAATGTCAAAACAAACTCGAAGGTCAGTCCCTTTCAAAGTCCGGGCAGTGTAAACAAAAAAAATAATATGTGAGTACCGTGCAAGTTCATTTTGTAGTGGTTCTGGGGAAAAAACCACACTACTTTAAGTGGCGGGTTCAATGTCACAAGCAATTTAACTAACAGGTGCTGCTGAGTTGTCCGACTCATCCATTCAGTCACCTCGCGAGATTGTTTCTTACTAATTATGCACATTGAATGAAATTATATCCAAAAAGAGTTCCTGAAAATGAACTGCAAAGCAACTACGTTAATAAAAATAAAGGCTGCAATGGCACGTACCTGTAACACAACCAGTACTGTAATGAACAGGCCGACGGCCGCCGCGCATACCCCGAGCGTTACAACGGCCACGCTGGGCGCGGATTGAGCGCTCGGCACGGTGTGCAACGCGCCCCACTCAGCTATACGGCGCTTGCCTGCCACCGACGAGTTTATGCACTCGCCTGGTGAGAACGATAAAAATTTGTACAACCTTTTTCCAAAATAATAACGTATCGCCAAGCAGTGCTTAGACTTTCAGAATTTATGGGAAGCGGCGAGTTATTTAAACCCACAAATTTTAAAGGACATTTATCAAAATACGGTTTTATGGCGACTTGAATATATTTGCCAATGTACTTTATTATTTTTATACAAAGAACTTTATTTTATTATTTCAGGTGCGTTCTGCCGAATAAGAAACAGAACATCAAAGGACGAAGAGTCTGTCTTAAAGCTGATCCTTCTTGGCATCAAGCGTGACAACTAACCACTGCAACTACACGCAAACTATGAATTTGGTTATTATTATATCATGCTGTCTTTTTTTGTAGCATAGGTTCGAAAGCAGCACGAGCAGACGGTTCACCTGATGCTAAGCAATCATTACCACTGCTGAACATAAGCCTCCATTAATGACATGTAGGTCGTTCGGTTGAATGCCATCAGTATTCTATGCGACATGTCATCTATTCATCTTTTCGATGTCAATTTTATGCATACGTAATTGAAATTATCTTACCCGTATCAGGATTACAATGGCAACAGTCTGTCGGTGGCGTAGAGTTGGTTACACTGCGCTCTGAACAGCATGGCACGCATTGATTGTTTAACCTATTGAAAAAAAAACAATAAATAATTAATATTATCATTATTTATGACAGACGGAGGAACAATCATTAATAAGCAAGAAAAATGTTTGGATGTAACAAAATACCTTATAACTGTTACAGGTCACCGCTGTCTCTTACTATGTACAAGAAGTCGGTTAAAAAATGGTCCTTCAACCAAGACAGAACTTCGAATTCAATAAATTCTGATGGTGAAAACAATGCCTAAATAATTATTATTCTTTTGTCTTGCACAATCAAAAATGGCAAAAATGTTCGTCTGGAAGGACCAAAATTTTAAAAACCTTTTCGTCTCTAAAGATTACAAAACTGAAAAATTACCTAGAAGGACCAAATATAAGATCGATTAAGGTATTTGAAAGTATGTATCACATAAGACAATACACACTTAAATAAACTCAAACGTTTTTATTTTTAAACTGACTAGCCACTTGAATAGGAAACTTAATTACATAAGCCACCATAATATTTGCATACTTATGTATTAAATGAGGCAGTACGCCTGTCTGAAGTGACGACGCTTAAGTAAATAACGTACTCCGGGGAATCACTACAGCTACCAATCTTGCAAACTAGCTAATCCATTTAAGTGGGAAAGCATATTCATTTAATAAATTGCTATTGGATTCCTACAAACACGATTAAATAGTGGCTGGACATTTCCCAGAAAATAAAGAGATAGGTACTCTTAGTGTAGTGGTCCTATATAACCTTTTTGGACGATGAAACAAACTATTTAATTGCCTATTTTAAGCCAACTAATGGCATAAAATAAAAGAAAAAACTAAAATATTCCTGGTTTAAATCAAAACAGTGAGAAACAAAGTGAAAATTCGTAGGAAACGACTAGAATAATGTTTTCTATTAAAGAAAACTCAACTGTTGTTTTAAAATTCCACGAAACTGAATCAACTCCTGTTTCTATCCTTTTCCTGCAAGAGAATAAACCAGAACGATAAAATTAGATTCCAATAACGTGAACTATTCACAGAATTCTCGGTAAAAATGTTAACTGTAAGCTTTCGAGTGTTTTTTGTCGACACTTGTAAACGTGTCAGTGTCCTTCAAAGAAAGAGGACTCTTCAATGCGTACCTTTGCCCCGAGATGTGGGGACTGAAGAGAAGTGTTGTGAAGTAAAACTGTTTCTTACGAGTCAAACGAAATATGTTACTAACGTTTAGTGGTAAGGTGGAATCTGTGCTGCATTTATTTTTGTTTGGGATAAAAAGACTTTTCGGAAGTTATTGAGCTGTACTTGTTGACGTCTTTTGAGATTCGAAGCAAATTTTACCAATTTTATAAGTTCAGTATTAAATCAACAACGTATTATGGTAGGAGTTACTCATTGTTAGGAAATTTGTATTTGTATGTATGGTATATGGTATGATAAGGAATGGTAATTAAAGGTATTTACTATACCCACATGTACCAGTAAGTTTTTTTAAATAATTTATTCTTGCTACAACATGGGGTGGTATCTTACAACTAAATTCGCCAAAGTTGTTCGTTTGATGGCGAGAAGCGCTCAGTTAAATACAACTAACAGATATTCCGAGCAAAGAACAAAACAAAATGTAATAATTTCAAAGTAGTTTCTAAAACAACTAATACTAATAGGTACTATATTTGTTCAGAAAAGCTCAACTCTTTTCATCTAAACGATAACTGTAACGTCTGTTTGAGCACGTGCACTCGACATATTTCTGGCTACTCCACGGCACGGTTAACTGGGCTGTTTCACTCGCAATTTCATACATAACCCGCGCACGAAAGTAACCCGAAACTTATGACCCACCTGTCGAGCCAACCGGTAGCACACGTGGCCAAATTGAACAGGTCCACGCAAAATATTCAAAGAGTTATAGATTGGTGAATTTATTTTATTGTTTTCGAAAAATTTAAAATCATCATTTTCTTAAATACCAAGGAATGTTGTAAATGTTACAAAGTAATGTTATTTTATAACAAACAATAAGATACATTTTGATCCAAAAACGTAAAAAAGCAATAGCTTACCAACGTTTCAATTGACATACGCATCTAGATATGTAAAACGATTTCTCTCGAACAATGAAATTATTAATGAAACAGACAAACAAAACAATATTTTTCGATCGAAAAGCATAAAAAACTAAATAGTTTATACCGCGTATCATTACATAGTATAAATCAAAGTCACTTTCTCTGTCCCTATAGATGCTTAAATCACACAACGGATTTTGATGCAGTTTTTTTTATAGATACAGTGATTGAAGCAGAAGTCGCTGATAAATTAAATATTATAAGGATAACTAACCTGTCAAGTCTTAATGGCCTGGAGCACGTGGTACAGCTGAACTGGCCGGGTCCAGAGCAGGTCCGACAAGTCGAGTCACAACCGCGACAAGTACCACTCGTCGCGTCATAGTACTGAGACCCAAGGCACTCCATACAAAGTCCACCGTCAAGCATAAAGCGGGGCGGACACGACTTGCAGTGCAGTGGACCTGAGCCATCGCACTCGCGGCAGTAGTGGTGACAGTGGCGGCAACCACCTACGCTTTGGTAAAAACCTGGGAGAAAAGAGAATAATTAATTCGCTTAGGCAATATTCTTTTGTTAAAGAAAAACAAGAATCTTTACTAGAATTTTCTTAGTTTACAAGTCTACCCCAACCCTGAATGATCATTTGTTAGTTACGGTGAATCCGCAAGGGTGAACCAGATCACGGTATATGCACAAGAACATCGCGGTTATTTTGGCTGGTTAGAGTTACACCCCTAACGGCAAGGGAAATGCATGAGGACTTCCATAAAAATAAAAGAGCAATAAATTGTGGATCAATTACTTATTATTTATTTAATACGAGATTCAGATGCGTAAGAAACTTGCAAAACCCAATTCCAGCCTAAAATCTCTAGTATTTATTATTCTTTGTTTCTCTTCGTAAAAAATGTGTGTAGGTGTATTAAACTGTGCTATAAGGATATTGTACTTCGCAGTCGACAGAAAAGAAACCAAATAAAAGTTCCGTCATCGAATATTTCAAGAAACTCTATACCAAATCTTTATAAGCCCAAGGCCTCTGATATATAAATACAGATGCGCGAAACCCGCTTGAAAATTGAGCACACGTGGGGCTTGAATTCAGTGGGAACTCTTCAGAACCTACTTGAGACCGCAAGATGCTTACAGTGATAAATCTCTTTCAGCTTAACCAAACGTAAAGGGGTGACAAATTGTTCGGTAATAGTTTGTTTCATTTTAAACTTTACACATAAAACATTTTCTTCAAATCGTTATGTGATTTGTGTAAACATTTTTTTTTTTTCTATGGGATAAAAATGTATTTAATTTTTTTCTATTTTGATACTTAAACTTCCTTCCTTACACAATCCATCTTGAAGACATGACCTTTACAATAAGTGGCGAGTTTTTGTTTGTATAACTGGCTGATACATGCGTTAAAAAAGGTGTTTTTGGGTAACAGCAAATCAGACATCGTCAGAATCAAATTTCATTGTAAAATAAAAATCGAAGATTTAAAAAATATCCGGAACTAGGTATCTTATAAATGTTTGGTAACACATAACATAGCCCAACTATGTTGCATGTCATGTATGGCATTTAGGGAATATAAAAGGGCTTAATTTCAGTATTATTAATAACTTTTCCAAAAACGACGGAATTACCGAAAAAAAAAACTGAAAACCTCGTATAAATCTGGATCTATCAAAGTTTCTAAGTTTACTTTAAAATATGCAGCATAAAAAACACGGTTGATGTATCTAAGGTCATAATTACGTTTCATATAATTATGTAGTTTCAGAGAAATGATTGTTTTTCTAAATACCCGGTTTAAAAAAACGCGATTTTCAAAATATTAAAACGCAAAAACTTGGTAGTGAAATGGGGATAATAAATATTGCATTCAAATAACTTAAACTATTTGATTTTTACATAACAAAGCAATGTCCGAAAAAATCGTCTTTATAAAACACTGTGGGCCGCTATCAATCTAACCAGTCAAGAATTGTATCTCAAGTTATTTAATACAATAAACACAACAACATTATGAACCTCTTTGTTACCCTTCAGCGCAACATCTCCATTAATCTCCAGTATTGTGCTATACCCACTAATCAATATTGAGGATAAACATATTTTCGTTGTTTTCCCTTCCACTTCCCTCACACAATTCATTAGTAAGAATGTTGTAATAAGTAACCAAGGAAAACATTCGGTTATCTCCTTGTCTATCGTTTATTGCTTTACGGGATATAGTATTAATAAAAATATTATCATTATTTATATGATAGGTACTAAGTGAATCAGCGAGGGTTGCGGGTCAAGCGTGTTAATTTACCGGGGGAAAAGCAAAAGATGTGGTTTTAGTCAGTAAGAGTAGTAGAGAAGACACTCCCTCTTGCCACACACAGGGCTGAAAATGTTATCTGATGATGTGGTGAAAACAAGGACTAAGGTGATCATCCATGCCGTGCATTGAGACAGTTTGGTTTCTGCTTAAACTCTCAACCAGAGGCATCTTTGTATGTAAAAATTAATCGCAAAATATGTTGGTAAGCGCATAACTCAATAACGCCTGGACCAATTCTACTGATTCTTTTTTTGTTATATGTGTTATTATCAGGAGAAAGTTCTTATGAAAGAAAATTTTAGAAAAGTAGAGGGGAGAGTTGGGTAATAGGAACTCTTTCATCGTAAGCGAGATGATGAGACCCGTGCGAAGCAGGGGCGAGCTGCTAGTCTATCTTATAATTATGTTTGAATTGAACGGGTTTTATATTGGTTGGGAGGTCATAAAAGTGTAATCTAGTGTACTCATTTGCCTATACTTACATTTAATAAAAACACCTTCGAATTATCAATCCTGAACCTTAATCCAAAAGTATTGAGTTGAAATAGGTTATTTGTTTCTGAAGTAAGATAACTCACCTTGTGGACACTCCGGGTGACATTCCCCTGCGGCCAGCCTCCATCCCTCGGGACAGGAGGCGCATTGGTCTCGTCTCGGTCCGATACACGTGCGACAAGACAAGTAGCACTTGGAACACGTGCCGCGGTCCGCATAATACCTGCCAGTCACAACTCTTTTTTAATAACTTCATACTAAATAAAGAAGAAGGTTTGGTTCGAAAGAGTTTGATTTTGTTTTAATATTGATAGAAGTTGTCTATAAAATATGTACGCAAAGACAAGAAATTGAGACAGTCAAACTGTTTGTTATTTTTTTGACTATTATTTGTATAATAAGCTACGAAATAAACAGCACCTCAATTAAACAAAATAAAAACATTTCTTAAATTTGTCTATGATTAACAATTCTATTTGAATGGAAATAAGTGCATTTTTTATGTTATTATTTCCAATTTTAATACCTACAAGACATTCTACACACTAAAATAACACTTACTAAGGAACTTTAAAAATAACAGACTATCCTTTCATTCTATCAAAGGAAAACACCTCATTTCCTTACCCCTTCAAATAAAAATGTAATAAACTACCTACTACAACAAAAGGTATAATTTACCTACTCTAGTATTTATTATAGTGAGAAATCAATTCTAGTAATTACGAATAATCCTTTAATAACAGACTACGAAATCAGTTTCGAGAATGCACTTTTGAAGATTAAAAACATTTGTCCATTTAAACATTTTAATCATCGAGCACAGTGGCTTAAATTAATTACAACTGTAGTACGTAGGGCTGTCACGCTTACATATTAAATTGGTACATTAAATGACAATACACGCATTTAAATGTATGATAGGTACTATTATTAATTTTTTGTTTTGGAAATGTAGGAATGAAATAAAGTCATGGCATTGCGAGAGGACGGCTGTGGTTTCCAATTTTAAGTTAAAAGATTAAAAATGAGCAAACAAGTGCGGCCTTTTATATGCTGTTTCTTATTTCGCAAAAACACGCGGTTTATAACCGCCGCGGTATCGCTCGTCGAGCTTGAAGTATGATCGTTCTAGAGCTATGTTTTCCATTAAGGACAATGTCAACCCTGTTTTAACCAGTTTTAACCAGTCAACGTCTTCTATCACCTTTTTGACAAAAGTGGATTAATAGGTTATTAACAAATACATTTCTTAATACCCGTTAAATAAAGAATACATTTGCGTACAAAGAGGACTAATAAAATCCTACTAAAAGTACTTGCCAAGCGTTACACAGAAATTCAAACCTTATTATTAAAGACATAACGTACCCATCAGCACAAGAAGTCCTGCAGGCTCCGGACTGTAAACGCAAAGCGCTTACGCACGAGGTACAGTTCAGTCGCGACACGCAGTCCGAGCACCCGTGCATGCAGCGTGCACAACGACCGGCCTCGGGGTAATAACCTTTACTGCATTCTGGTACACACCTGTGATGAAAATTAAGAAATTTATAGTTAGTGGCTTGAAATTACCCGAGTTGCTCGTAAAACACAATAATTTAAGAAACTTATATCTGTAATTTAATGTCTTGTACATTTTGGGTTCACGGATGGGATGGGGCGGGTTCGATTCCAGCACGGAACAACTCTTTGTGTGCTCCACAAATTGTTGTTATGCTAATAAACTAGAGGCAAACCGCTTGCCGATATCCACTGAGAAGCGATGACATTCCAATACTACCATTGAAAAATAAATAAAAGTTTAGATCCAAACATTTTTGGATAAATATTGTTTTCCGTTACGACAGTTAAAAATAATTTTAGATAAAAAAAAACTCATCTATAGAAATTATTATACTAATAACAAAAATACAAATTAAAAGCACAACAACATGACTATAAATGTTGAACTTACTCATTAGTTAAAAATAAATACACCACTGGGTTATGGCCACGTGGATGCAAAACGTGGTTCGTTAAGGTTACCGTGTGAAAATTAAATGGAATAATATTACCTGAAGCTTTTATACTGGATTAAAAACGCAATCCACGTTATTTTCTTTCAAATAGCTATCAAAAATGTATAAAAATGAACTTTATAGTCGTAGTTTTCCTCACTTGTAATCCTGTAGTAAATTGGGATTCGGACATGTCAGACAATGTCCTTCATTTTCTCCGTAGCACGAATCGCAAGCCGGGTTACATCTCTTGCATTTCTGATCTACTGCAAATTCACCTGCACTGCATTTGTCGCTGCCCACAGGCATACATTTTCCTTTTTTATTAAGTTCCCAGTTCGGTTCACACGAGAGGCAAAACGCACTCGTGCACGTTAAGCAACCAACGGGACATCTAAAAACAAAATAAAACGATCAGAAACGGGGTCACAGCACTTTATGTTTAAATAACATTCAAATATATAAATACGAACCTCATACACTCTTTCCTCTTTTTGTCGGCGTAATACGCTGGAGGACATGAGGAAACACATCGCCCGTCTAAAGCATACGTCGACGGGTGACAGGTCACGCACTGCGTTTCCCCGGGCCCTTGGCAAGTATCACATGTTTCGTGACATTTTGCGCACATGTCATCTTCAGTCTCATAGTGAGAAGGCGGGCACGATGCCATACAGGTTCCGTCATGAAGCACGAGATGGTGTTCACAAGACGTGCAACCATCAGCCCGTTCAGAACAAGTAGCACAGTGAGCCGCACATGGCCGGCAGACGGAAGCTTCACTATCTTCCCAGTATCCATCTGGACATTGTTGCAAGCAGACAGCAAGGTCTGCGACTAATAAGTGCGCCGGTGCACAAGTCAAGCACGAGTCCTGCCCCGGTCCCACGCAAGTCTCACAAGACTCGTGACACGGCCAACAAACTCCACCCTGGTTAGCATAACTTCTTGGAGGGCAACGAGAAACACAAGAGTCGTCCAGACGGTAGTGCTTGCACGCAATACATTGAGTTGGTCCTTTTCCATAGCATCCTTGAGAATCGCATTCGGGATCACAGTCATGCATGACGCGCTTGTCATTACTATCAGCGAGGACATTCTCCCCATGCGGAGAAGGGACGTTATGTCCATCGAGGCGAGCTACCGCCTTTTCCGGGTCTGACCCGGCGGCGAATAGATTTGGAAAGTTTTGATAGTTGGCAAACGCGTCAGTGTTGTAAAAAGAATCCCCGATAGTTTCGTAGCCATCTGCGGCAGTGGGGAAAGCAAAAGGCGGCGCTACTGGCGACGGCCTTTTTGATCTTAATCGTACTGGGTCAACTGCTGTTCCATAGAAAATAAGTTGCCACTTTTTAAGTATGCCAGCTTGGTTAACATGTCTGTTGCCAGCATTTACAATTTGTAGCGTCCATCTACCTTCAGCATGTTCACCCCAGAAGTGAACACTCAAGAAGGGCCAGTCATCAAAGTTTGAACTCACAACATCGCGTGGCCTTTCGAACAGCAATGTTGACACAGTACCCATTGGAGATGTCAAAAGTATACGTAGATTACCTCTAGGGAAGAACCTTAATGATATTTTACATTGAACATGTTCAAGATAACGAACTTCATTAACTGTAGAACTGCACCCATTAACGTCCATATGCGTAGATAGGGTGTAACCGAATTTTGATTCTATCTGCTTATCTTCGTTAATTTCTTGTGACTTACAAATATGTTGAGGAGGTACGGACACCCATTGCTCTGCTAAGCTGACCATCTCAGAAGCATCCATTAGTCCGTACCCGAATTTGTGACTTACTTTCCTCTTAACTCCGTTTATGATCCAACCACCTTCTTTTTCTAGTGGTTGGGGTCGTGACGTCATTACAACTAAATATTGCATATCTCTCCATGTTAGTTCAGGGTTTGCTTCTAGAGCTAAAGCACAAATACCAGCCGCAAGGGGAGCGGAGGCCGAGGTACCTGTATGTTCTACAGTACAAATATGATCGGATCGTAATCTTCCGTCCATGTCAACGGTGGCAACACTCTTGTCATGTCCTGGGGTACCCGAACTGTAAGTAGTAGCTAAGGTAGATGAGCACTCTTCTAGATACCAAGGTTTATAACCACCTTGAGTAGCACTAGAAATAGATAAAGTAAATATACTGTTCGTATAGCCGTCACAATTACAAGAGTCTGTATGTCTTCCACCGTTTCCTGAAGCCCATACAAATATGGACCCTTTACCGCGACGACCACTGGTGACTCCGTAGATGAATGCTCTAAGGAAAAAAAGAAAACAATTAAGTACTTGACGTTTATGAACGAAATATTTTAAAACAATTTATACAAATAAATCAAAACTTTACCTTCTTGCGAGAGGTCCTGGTCCGTCAACGGTTTTTCCATCATCTTCTGGTCCCCAGGAAGCGCTGTAAATATCTATGTGGTCTGGGTTAAGGCCTAAAGCCCTAGCTTCAACAGCATCATTGACGACTCCGTCCAACATCCTTACGCCACCAATACTGGCGTTGTAGGCAATGCCAACACCGCAGTACTGGTTGTAGGCGACTGCAGCAACCTCACCAGCACACCGCGTGCCATGCTTATTGTCGCCATTATCTTGAGGCATAGGATCATCATCATTGCCGTTGATGTCTGTAGACGCGTTGGGATCCTAAGAACATTAAAAAACCAAAAGTCAGTCTCAAAGTTCTCTTCTTGTTGCACCGACCATACTCTGCATCGTCCTAAGGTTGACTTGTAATAATGCCTACGGCATTAAGTCCACCTTTGTAATATTCTGTTGCATAAAGTTTCAATAAATAAAATGTGAAATCACAAAACTGTGTATTCCAAATGAATAAATTATTCCAAAATTGAAGACGGTTTTGTGAAATTCATCAATTTTGTTGCCACATTTACTGTTTATAATTCGGTTCGTTCTGATAATTCGCTTTATAGCATTTCGACGTTCCACCGCAACCTTGTAATTATCTCTAATGAAATTAATACCTAAGATAATTCTAAATATTTATTTTCCTCCTCCGTAAACAACAGGGCTTTATGGAAATCGCTTGTTCTTTTAGTAATGGAAACGTTGAATATTATGTTCTTATATTTATAATTCTTTTAGATATTTTGCAACACTGAAGTGGCTTAAACCCATCCTAATTTTTGAATTCATATTTTGAACTTAGCTCCAATAAAATAACTAATTCTAGTTAATTACGATTCTTATGCAAATATGAAAAAATAATAATTTTAAAAACTACCTATTTCGAATTTTTTAAGAAGGTTTGTACACATTTTTTCTCAGGAGCAACATTCAAAATTTTTCTACGAACATGGACACCATGTTACTCACTTCCAAAGCCTAAGTAACTTAATATGCGGGGAGCTTATCTTTAGTGCCTAACCTTTACAGCAGTTAGTTGTTGAACCGATAGTATTATCAGTTAGAGTATTAACGGCTCTCTATGGTACTAGTTACTGGTGATATGAATATGTAAAGATAGAAGTTGCATTGAAATAGTGTTGGTGTTGAATTTTGGACCATTATGTCGATATTTCCGTGTGGTTTCGAAATTATATTTGCGTGTCTGTTTAATTGGTCATTTAAATGACATGTGGTCATTTGGGTCTAACAAATACCTAAGCTTCTGTATAGGTTTCGGTATTAAAATTGATATAGGCAAAATTTGTGTTCAAACTTTCTATTTGCAACGTTTTAATTAGTAAAAAGTCAACATCATACATTTTTCGTGACTGTGATACGAGGAATATATGAAAACTAATATTCGTTGCGTGGTTTATTGGCGTACGCTGACTAAAAGGATAATCGGAAACCAGTACTAGTGGCTAGATTAAAAAGTGGCCATTTTTCTCTGTTCCCAGTGCAACATTTCTATGCGTAGCCTTTTAGGGACACCGTTGCCTTGCTAAATCCATTTATTGAAATAAAAGGTTTCGTTAAAAGCTCCCGTAGCCGCTATTCACAAATTTCAGGAAATATATTTTTTCTAAAATAAAAACAGACTCAACAAAATCGAACTATTTTTAATTAATTGTAAGAAATCACAAATCACAGCAGACTCCTCTCGATTAGATATACTTAGTAAAACAACACTTGAGGGGTATTTATTCATGTAAGTGAAGTTATTAAACTTTCTCTCATTTCTCATCTCTAATTAACTAATCCCTATAAGATCGGCAACGCGCTTGTAACAAAGTCGTGTGCCTGGAGAGTCCATAGGCGGCGCCAAATGCTTCGGCGTATCATCGGTAATTTGTCTACCAGTTTACTACCCTCACCCATAGAAAAGAAAATCAGTAATTTTTAAATGCTCGATTGTTTTCATAATATCCAATTCTTATGTTGGTCATATTTTTTTCGCTGAAATACCTAATTTTGAATCCACCCTTCAATTTAAGGTATTAGGTATCTTAAAGTTACTTTGGTAATCAGTTACCATTCGTTTCATTTTTTAGGTAAAAGTTTAAGTGTTAAGCAACAAATAACTGTTATTTATTAATGAATGAATATTAAAATAAGATATACTTACGTAGTTCTGTGCCAAATCCGGATGGTTGGTCTGTATACCGTCGTCCAGGATGGAGACGACGACTCCTTTCCCGGTGTAGCCCTTCTGCCAAGCAGGGGCCACGTTCATATCCAGACCATCCTTGGCACCGCCGTTCTAAATAAAACAATTGTAAATTAATACATTTGCGTTGTCAATAAAAATGTGATGTTTTTTTTACACTGTTGGTTTTTTTAAAGGTTTTAACAAATAATCGATACTAATATTATAAAGCTGTTTGCTGTTGAGTTCGTTTGTTTGAACGCGCTAATCTCTAGAATTACTGGTTCGAATTGAAATTGTTTTTTATTGTTATGTACATTTATCGAGGAAGGCTGTATGCTATAAAACACCACGCTACGATATGTAAGAGGGCGCAGCAGCAACAATGCGTCAGCATCGAGTCTTAACAGTCGTAACTCTTAACAAATTAAGCTGAAAGTGAAGAAAACCTTCACGATCAAAAGAAAGTTCGACCAATTTTTTATTGGAATTACCTAACCCGGTCAGTTATTTGGTCTTCTGGATCTATGTAACAAAGTACGTAAGAACTATAGATAAAAAGTGTAATGGAATAAAATGTTAGGATTAAATTAAGATCTTACCGAATTATTAACCGACGTTTTATTTTCCTTATCTACTTGGAAAAACAAACTCATATTTAACAAAAAGTAATTCAAACAAAAAAATATATTTGCTATAATATAATATTATTATACTCACTTAAATTGAATTGCTGTTTAAAAAGATAAATAAAAAAATGTTTATTAAAAAACTAAACGTTACATATACCTACATAAGCCATCTGCGACATGTGACGATCATCGAAACAGCGTCCTTGATACGGTAAAATCAAGGTTTAAATTTGATAAATCAAACAAACCAATTGCTGTAGATACTTACCAAGTACCATTGTTCCTTGAAGAGGGGGTCAGGAAAGAATGGTGAAGAGGTGAGTGCCCGATAGTGCGGGCGATGGGGTTGCAACCGGCGTGACAGTTGCGAGAACGCTGCGCGATCGTACGGGGAATAATCCCTCTTTATACGTCGCTTTTCTCGTTGCTGTTCGAACCATCTGACCTGAGGACAAAACCACGTACCATTTAAAATAAAGAATAAATAAAATATGACACAATACATATTTCTTAAAATCCAATATAAAACTGAAAACAACAAAAGAACAAAAACGCATCGAGAAAAAAAGAAACAAATACATCTTTACGAGTTTTTCATTCAACATTCGTTGTTTATAAGGCAGGAAATTCTTAGAAGGGGACCAACATCAAAACGTCACTTTACTCGAATTTCCTCAACAGCTATAAGAAAAAAAAAGAATATCTAAAAGCATTGTTGAAGAAAAGGTTTATTTAAACATTATTTAATTTGAGAATAATGTGATAACAAAACGAATCCGTTCCGTGGCTCTTAGACAAGTCGACGTGTTAGATAAGATACAAAACATTTAGCGAGCCATAAGACGCAATTACAACGCTTTAAGCCTGGAAGCCGGCCAACCAAAAAGACTTACAAACACACATTCTGATCTAGCTTCAAGACTTTTATTACAAATTAATTATGAAAAACGTTAAGTGGTTGCCAACGAATCTTAACCCTTTTTTCTTGCCAGATTGCACTCAGTGTAAAGGAAGCAATTTACAGCCGTGCCAGACTCATTTATTGGTTACTTTCTAATTTGGTTATTACTACTTTCAGTCAGTCGTTCATATGCAATTATTGTAGGGACAGAAGGTTACTAAGGGAGCGTTTAAGTTATTATTAAATGTCTCAGAGTATGGCAGATAGTGTTCATTCAAAACCTACCCAATAAATAATAAATAAAAAACACTTTTAACTGGTAATTAATAAGGGTTTTAATCAAAATAAACATATCCTATTTTTATATATCACAAATAAAGTATGCAAGATCTTATATCAGTTGGTCTATTTTTTTACTTGATGACAAATAGGTATTATTGCACAGTAATACATTATATGCTTAATCTAGATACTGCACATTTTTTTTTTGGTTATCACTCACTGTTCGCCTTATTAAAATTGCTAACATTCTTAATTAGCTGGAAGGAATCCTTGCCAATACAATAAATGCCTTTTAATACAAAGAAACGTATAGAATCAACAGACATCTATAAATAATGTTCTTTTATGAAACACGAGTTGAATTCGACACAATAGATTTTCGTCAAAATAGAAATTAATTAGGAAAATAAGTCTTACTGTATTCTAAGAAAATATTATCACTAAATGGTATTTATTTTGGCTAGACACAAATAAGACAAAAAGGTACAACAATACTGGTTAAGTAAATGTGAACTATTATTCGACTTAATCATTAGGAATGATAGGAACTTGTGATGATATCAAATATCTCACAATAATAATATAATTAGCTTTAGTGGAAGATGTTATTAGGACCATCATTTTTGGCAAGTTTGTTTCAATAACAAACTGACAGCTGAAGAAATAAGCGGAAATTTCCCGGTAAGAAAATATTTTAGGACAACCTAAACAGGAATTCTTACTATTGGGTTTGATAAAAAATCCTGAGGCAAACACACGTCAAACAAGAGACTATCCAAATCTAACATTTAGAAGGTGCAATTTCACAGTTGTTGGAATGCAACAGACAGGGGAGGGTGGGGCAGCTTGCACCAGCGCTGTGTATTAGCATGAGAAAGCCCGGGGCGCCGGCTGCCGGGCGCGTGTTTCATTGCTTTTTCACAAGTCCCGAGGTCGAGACGAAATGACACAATTCGTCTGACACGAACTTAAAAGCAAAAAGTCGAACAAAATGCACCTTTTTTAAATTATTCCCCGCTGTTGTAAATTGTGTTGTCTTAGCTGCAGTACTCTAATTTCATTAGCAATGGTGGTGAGAGCAAACGTCGGAGGAGCGGCCGTAAGCCACGTAATAGTTGAGGGCAAATGTAATTACACAAGACAAAAATTCAAATTCCGAGTGCATACTATTTACTTTCCTTCCTTAAACGGCAGCTGGTAAACTTTGCTAACTTTAACTTATGTACGCTTCTGGTACCAAAATAATAAATGTTATACGATTCTAAAATTCCTTATGATTTTAGAAGCAACCAAAACTGAACCCTTTTCCTGAAATTCATACGGCATATTTTTGTTAAACAGCAGCAGTAAAGAATAAATAAGTAGGTACTTAACGATAATTTTAACATATACATCCTCATTTAAATCCTTGTTTATTAGTCCAAGTAAAATACGATGGTAAAAGGCTTGCACACAATTGAAATGGTTCAAAAAGCGTTACGTGGTTTGTGGCCGGCGCCGGGGGAAGCGTGGGGCGGAATGTCACACGTATTTTATTGGCGTGGTCGCCGCAGCATATGAACGACTCAGGAGCAAACGTCCACTGTTTGTCACAGCACCGCAAGCCCGAGTAATTTAATAAAAAATCCCCGCTCTACTCTTTTTATAATACACGATTATGGAACTGGAACAACGAGATAACGTTTTGTGGTCTTAACTGTACAGTTTTACGAGTGTGTAAAAATTAAATGCGCTATTTGGATGACAAAGTATTTGCGCCAAAGAAAACAGGCACTGTTGTTTATATTCTTATCCCTGCCCTGCACAGTTACTGTGGGACAAGCTCTAAATCTAATAAGAAAACTTTGTATTTTTCTTCTTTTCACATCGACTAAAGTTTTTATCTTCATATCAACACGTTACAGTAATACGGGATGGGTCTACATACATAGGCATGGAAAGTTCCAGTCGTGAGGTAAACAATATTTTTATTCGGCTGACGTTGATAAAAATCAGTTTTTGCTTCATCCAAACATTCGTGGCTCGCATATTGTTTTTTGCGCGTACATTCAGCTGAACAAACAGCAGATGTCGCGCAAACCAAACATAGTTATCCTTCGACTTGGGACTGGGCAAAAAGGCGACACGAGAGCCGAACATACCGAATGAGGTTTAATAAAGCTCCTTTGTAGTAACACACCGTAACGTAATAGGGTCCTAAACTAATAGACCAAAGGGGTCTGTTACGGGCGCCGCAAGTCTACGGCGCGGATGGGTTTAAACAGATTTACGCGTAAAAGAAACGCACTTCATCTGCGCGGTTGACCCTTGTCTTTTGTTGCGCGACCCAATTTGCGCTCCGTTCAACGTATTTGTTTTGAGTATAATTAAAATTCTTTCTTGTAGTTCATTATGATGTAGACAGGCTTTATAAAAAGGCTTTTTGTTCTATAATGTAAACGAAACACCGGTGCGGCGTGTATGCCCAAAGGACTCGTAATTCGGGAACTGTTATTGTTTTACTCATTATTAACCTGAAATATTAACATAATATTTTATTATTTCTGATAAGCGAAAAATGGGCTTTTTATCTCAGCTATTGGTCATATTTTAAACAGGATTGTTGAGAGAAAAGTTTTCTAAGCAAAATGCGTCCCTGCAATAAATGTGGTGCGGTTTACATCCGCGTCACGGCGACAAATCTTATTCAAATCTCTGTCATCTACGTCTAAACGCGGTTACCCTCGTAAATAAACGTCTGAGATGAGAAAAAGCTTTGAAAAAGATATCGCCGAGTCGAAACAAGCGTGTAACACAATAATTAACTTGGAAACAAAAAGAAGTTAAATGTCGTGCAGCTAAGAATTTTTTCGTAGCGTTGATATGGGAGGTTGTGTTGGTAATCTATGTTGGTGTTGGTCTCATCAACATGAGAAAGGCCGGTCGGAGGGGCCGGCACGCCCCGGAATTTTATTAGTCCACAGTCCACTCCGCCCAAGTCGACCCAAACTCCGCTTGTTACGGCCACAAAGACACAAAACCGTCATGGTACGTTGCCGAAGGAAACTTTAGTTCACAATAAATCTGACCAGTGATACAAATAGCCCGGGCTAATATTTGCCCCATGTAAATGGCACAGCTGGTCACGTATTCGGCACATGCCGAGTTAATATTGAAGTAAATGCTTTGTTGCTTTGTCTGGACTTTTTGGGTCTATTGATTTGTGGACACAAAACACAAATACGGATATAAAATACAAATAAATAAGGTAGAACAAAAATATTACTTTATGAGGGAAGAGCGCCGTTTTAGGGTGGAAAATTGTTTTTCGATATCAAACGACTTTCACAAAATTTGATGGGCATCAACAATGAAATGGACATGCAATAACAATAAAATCGAAATATAATGATCCAAAATCAATTCATATTCAATGTTGACAGGTACGATAAGATTGTATTTTACTTCTAAAAGTGGGTAAGTCTCTTTGTCTACGCGCATAAAAAACAAAACAAAGCCATTCTTGTCTCCCACGGAACATAACAAGCTCACATTTTTGCTGATTAGCTCAAAATAAATAAAACATAAAAAAGCAAATGAACATAACATCGTTTAGGGCGAAATTCGTTCTGCACGCGTATTACCTAAAATGGAAATGACATGTGGGTACAATTTCAACAGATTCACGGGCAAAACATACAGAAGCTTATAACAATATAAGCCATCCGACGGAATGATGTCATTTCCCCCCAGAAAAAAGGTTAAAAGGCCCATTCCCGAAGAGAAATCTCGTTATTATTGCAACTCGTTCAACGGAAGCTAAATATGATACTGGAAATGATGTCCCACGTGTGTTTGTGTAACGTTTATGTTAATACTTTATATTCTCATCAAATAGCGCACCAGCACTCCTTGCACCTCACATTTGCCTTGAAAGCGTCATAGCTTTAGTTTAAAAATGGTAAGTGCTCGCGATACATGAATACGAATAGTAGCGATTTGACTGCTTATTAAGATTGCAGATGGTTGCTTCTGCTACGTGTGTACAACAAAATGCAAAGTATAAATAGTTTGTTATAGTATACAAAATGAATGTATATACATAGATACATGAATATGTAAACATCCTACGGAGCATTTCATAAATCGATTAAATCTATTTTTTTTTCAAAAGTCTGATTTTAGTTACATGAATTTTCCACAAGTTATTTTATACCTTATATCGAACACAGAAAGATCAGACGAAAGTTAAATATACTAATTTGAACTTTGTACGGTTATTGACAGTTTCACGAAAAAGTCAATTCAAAGAAAAACATAAAAGATCCCAAATCTGTGAATAACTAACAGCTATTGGAAAGAACGTAATTATCTAGAACAGCAATATGAACTTTAAAGGCTACAGCATAAGGATCAAAATGTAAGGTTGTGTATAATCAATAAGAAAAAAGTCGTAGAGCCGAATAATACAAAAACGTATGAAAGAAAATCGTAACCTCCCCTTAAAAACTTGGAATAAAAATTGCTACAATGTCTTTACTTTTGCAGGAGGCGTTCTGCGCCCCGCGCTACCAACAAGGGATTGCATTAGTATTCCTACTTCGTACCCTTAAGGATAACCCCAGTTACGGTGTAAAGTCGCAGCGTACGATATGTAAAAATTTCACATATGTAGACGTACGTATGTGTGGGCGAAGAAAGTACGTGTCTATCGCTCCAGTCGAGGGTTTCACTCTTGAAAAGTTCAACAGCCTTTGTTTTGAATTATTTCACGGTTAGTCCGTCTATATTTAAGAAAAGCCGGTACAACGTAAGGACTGCCTATAAAAGGCCGAAACGTATTGATTCTGTTCCTAATACGTGGCCGGGACTGGCAGAGTTCGCCGCCTTATTTCGACTCTAATAATATCGTATCCCCGTCTAATACCATCTTTATAAAAAGAAAATAGACTTCTTTTTGTTTCGCTTTATTGGGTAGTGTTATGAGGAAAAGTAACTTTCCGGTCGGAAGGTCATCTTTTCCTATCAATGTAAGGTTCAGTGCACACATCTTGGTCATATTTATAAAAGTCATTTTTGCCACCCCGCAAGGAAGAACATGTGTATCTTTCAAATTACCTAATATGACGTTATTCATGAATGAGTTACACTGAATTCATGTTTTATACTAAAATCTCGATAATAGCTTTGCCCATTGTTTTGTTGGACTTGAAGATTCTGTTTTTTTTTTATATGTGTAAATGAGAACGTACCTACACTCAATATTGTTTGTAATGCGGGCATTTTTCTGTGCACTATAGTACTTTCTTTAGAACACAGACTAATTTCATACAGCTGAAAAATGCTCAGTTGCAGAGCGAGTTCCAAGCGGAAAGGCGCCACATGCTCAAGGATATTTCGTTGAAGACATTCTTGAATACAGCTTGAATATTCTCGGTGCACTGACAGCGTCGTACTTACAGAAGTATAGTAGTAATAAATGTCACATTGCTTGGATGATGGTGAGGGCAACATTTTATGAATCCGACAATGATATCTTAGTTGTGTCCCATTCGCCCCATGTATCTTGAAGAAAAACACAGAAATTCGTCGAATCGTGTCGCCCGCGACTAATGTAGATGGCTGATATTTCGCCCCCTTTGCTTTGTCACGCACTACGGGACTACATCAAAAGAAAAAAGACTATAATCCGAATGGGACTAAGTAATAAGTTTTTGATGCGTTATCTGTACAAGTTTATCACACTTAGGATTTTGTGGGTCGATACAGTTGCTTTTGGGAACTTCCGAGTAAATATGAGATACAGTTGAGGATATTAGTGATAAACTGACATTTATTAATGACATATCTGAATATATACGACTACTTAAGATAGTGAGTAAGATGGTGTACAAAAATTGAAGAATTTAGTGGAAATAGCTAAACCAAAGTGTGTACCTATATTTCGTCATGGCAGCGTACAAAGCTTTTCAAAACTCAAAATTCTAATAATATAATTATTGTAATTAAATAAACTCGAGCAAAAATCAAACGGAACGATCATAGGCTCAAAACACGAGGAACAAGTACCAAGGTTTAATTCTACTCGAGGAATTAATTAGTAAAACGAGACTAAAAGAAAATACGAAACGTAATTTCGTCCATCTTTTACACAAAGGATGTTTTGATTAATATTAAAAGGTATCAAGCGTGAATAAAGAGATTGTAGATAAATAGGCGAACGTTCTTTCGCGTAATGAGTAATTTTATGTTCATAATAAAACAAATCGTCCCGATTTACTTCAAAACGGGCACGGGTGAATAAAAGGGGGTTGGTAAACACGACATAGAGATACAACAAAGCCTAAAGCCTCGTTTGTGATATAAAAAATGGAGAAAAGCAGTGGTCTTCAACAAAGCAAATCATAAAAACATTACGACCTTCACTACGTAGCACGTACCTAGAGTACTTTGATATTTTGCTAACAATTTTTGTGTTTTTGCGGCTAATTGTTTTAGTAATATCCTAATTGAACATTTTTCCAAGTATCGAAGCCGAAATTTGGTGTATGTGACAGTTCGACCATCAAAGCAGTTCAAAAATAAATCCATAAAATAAAAGGGCAGTTTGGTGATCCGTGAACATCGGGTTATTGGGACAAGATAAAGTGAAGGGAATGCACAAGGCGCGTGTCAAATGGCACAAAGATTAACTGAAGGGTTCGTATGCGGACCTTCGATAATGCACGATTTCCTACAACACGCTTGAATGTTCTTCTAAAATAATGGATGTACACAAAACAAAATCGACATGATAGTACATATCTATATGCAAGAATTATTCTGAAGACGCAGACGCAGATTGTTGTAAGCTTCAAATTGCTGAACCACAAAAAGACGCTGCATCACTGCTACCAAACCAGTATCAAACCTCTCAGTCGTAAAACAGAACAAAAAAAAAACACGTTGCGTCTCTCATTAAAAATGTTTTTTATTTCATTTCCTCAGTTTTTATGTGTGGCAACATTAACGTGTTACACAAGGCGCTGTACAGATTCAAATTTTCCACATTTCTCCCCAACCACATTACCCTCGTACGTGACAAACGAATTAAATAAGTAACTCATTCCGTATAATTCCACAAATTCGGGGAACAATGTCGCGAGTCTGTCACCGAGATTGCTCAATAAAGAAAAATCCGGATTAACACGTAAAAGGAAATGAATACTTAACACTCGGCGTGAACGGGGCTTTAATTGAAGCATTTTAGAGCAGGAAGATTTTCGTTCGAGAATATTCTATTCGGTGGGAAGAATTATGAGGTCGATGCATTCAGTAATGTGCATTTTACATGACTATTCAGTCCAGTATTCCATAAATAACTGCTGATTGATCCGCGTAGTAAAATGATGAACGATCTCATTAGTGAAAAGTTCTATTTCGAATGGATTAAATGCGATGAAAAAGTATTAACATTTACAATTAGAGTGCCTATTCAGTTTTGCAAAAAATAGAGTTATTTTAATCACTTACTTGTGGTTCGTCGTTTAATTTTTTATGATGCTCGTGACTGGGCTCCGTGGATCGCTTGCGGACTTCATGGTGTGACAGCAAGTAGTAGTGCTTCAGGGAACCAATCTGTAACAAGAGAACATCATTATATTAGATTTACGAGTACAAACCTTTAACCTTACTATACTATAGATCTAATGGCCATATCAGAATATATATTAGAAAAAAATGTGTTTCATAATATTTAGGATAATGTATTCCATTTCCGCGAGGCCTTCAGTATTTAAATGGCTATTTTCCACACGGCATCAAGTGTTGCCCGCCCTAAACGACACTTATGCCAGGGCTATTCGTATTTCCTAACGGAGTAGTCCAACTATCCGGGCCTTATCGGCGACTTTATTTTCTTCACAACAATCAGAGGCCGTTGAAAATGTTCTCGATTACGTACTATAAAAACATTAGCTATAGTAATTTATTCGTATTGCTTTCCGTATGGAATTAGTACGTTGGCGCGAACTATTTTTTTTAGTATATATTTGGGCGGGCTCTTATAAATCGAGAACACGCGATCTGTTCCACCGTGCCCTCGCTCGAGTGTTAAATTATAGAAATTATGGCTGTGATAGCCATGCTTGCGAGTTTTTATTTAGGCAATTTTATTTTTGATACAAAATACATCAGCAAATGTGAACATTTTCTACACTGTAGAAAATGTTGATACAATAAGTAGTGGTTCGGGTTTATGTTTCATTATTTAAATTGTATGTTAGATGATTAAAAACATGCGACTAGTATTATAATATTAAGCAAAATAATCCTAAACAAAAACTTATTAATCATTCTAACATCTTTAATTTTAAACTATACAAGAGATGTTTACGGATAACCACAGATATCCGGGGGAGACGTTTTCTTCTCCTGAATCGACGGATATTACATCAAATATCCGTACTTGGATCGGAATCCGTAGATAGCTATGTATGTATATGAAATAATTCTTAACCTCTTAAGAAAATTTATATTACGAACACACACCGAACCAAACTAAATAAAAAGTGTTAAACTGAATTCACTCTATCCGTCTAAGAAGACGAAATACGTATTTACATATTCAGATTCGAATAGAATCCATCTTAAAGTAAGTAGTACTCGGCCGAAATGGAAGATTAAATTATTTGGGAAAACACGTGACGATGGTTCATGAGGTTCTGGTAAAGTAACGAGTCTCCTTCCCTCTTTATTAACTAACATCCAGTCTTGTTTAACATTAAACCTTTAAGAGCTTTACCGAGAATCCGAACCGAGGAATCGTCTTTGTATTTTCGTCTCTATAATTACTAACTAAAGGTTGTTGTTGTTAAAATTTCGTTGTTTTTTAAACACGTTTCTGTGAAAGCTTCACAAAGGATCCAAAATAAATAAAATATACATCACATTTTTGATAAAACCTGCGTGATGCGATTTGTTGTTACGTTCTTATTCTATGCACAAAACATAACCAAGGACAAGTTAAAGTACCAGCCAATGTATAATCCTTCTTAACACATTAACAATAAAAACAAAATTCGCACTTCAGACATAACATAACAATAATTACTCGTGACACATAAATGTATGTACCTACGTCCGGCCTTACCGCAGTCGCGGGCTTACCGTTTATTACGGCATTAAGCTGCTTACATTATATGCGACGGATTTTTAATCCTACCAACATTACCCATAAGTGCCATTTACAGCACCATACTTAATGGGAATGACCATTACACTATGCAATTTGTTACAAAAATCCTGGCCAATCCACAGAGCTTATGGTTCGACCTTTAGAATGGAGTTCGAAATTCGAAATTCATAATTCTGTGGCATAAATGAACGATAGTAGGAGTTTTTACATTAAATAAAAAAAAAACATAGCTCTAACAAATCAATATACCTACCTAAGACATGAAAAGAAAATGTTTGCCCACGATTTAAATTTTTATAAACTTTTAATACAGTTTACAGTTACAGTTACAGAAATAAAGCTGTTCAAAATAAACTAATTAAATTTGATACCATTGAAAAGTAACAGTACGATATTTCACAACAACCCAATAAAATTTCATATTTTTATCGAATTATCGAAAACAATATTTACTTTTCTATGAGACACAGTATTCTGATACATCATGTTTCAGCCTGAAACAGTACCTTACCTTAGCTCCAAATTATTACTTCTTAAATATTATCTGTAAAATTCGAAAAAAGAATATATCGTCAAACCAAAATATTAAGACAATTTTAAAATAATAGTACCTAATTTATTTTTTGCTAATGACCAATACCCAATTACGACAAAACAACACCACAATAGCAATATAGGCCAAAACAGTAATAAGAATACAACAGAAAGAACAAAGATTTAACACTATTCGTACAATCCAAGTTCCTTTAACACCCTTCATTTGCAATCGTAAACCTAACATAATCCGTAACACTAACACGCAAGTGGCTACGGCAATATGACCTTAACTTGCTTAACACTTACAGAAGACTTTGCGTGCGAAAATAGAGGAATGTTACGGTTTATGATCCCATAACTACTACTATAAAGTACTTAGCCGTTTAAACGCGTGCCATGTATTGCGCTTTTTTATTTCGCTTATGATTTTACAAGGATTTCCCCGTAATATACAGGCACTTACATAACTAATTACCTTCAAGCTAGTATTTTTTTATTATAAAGTATGAAACGAATATGTAAGTGATTTTTCAACGAAATAAGCTTTGAGGCTTAAACACCCTTAAATAACGTAAGTACTACTTATGAAAATAAGGAAAAATATCGGATCTCTTTACGAGTATGGCTTTATTTACACATCAAAGTCTTACTCGCTTACGATCCACTTTCACGTAAAATCAAATAAAATACAATGAGACGAAACAAATATTACCGATATCGAGAATTTAATATCATAAGATGAGGGAACACCTATGCAAAATTAGTTCTATCTTTTGCAAGAGAAAAATTCCTCGAAATGTATTTCCACCGCCCGACTGAACCGACAAGGAAAACGTGTGGAAAATAAACGGTATTGATGATACGAAATATGAGGGCATAAATTCTTATTGAACTGAATATACCGGCAGGATTCCCGTATCTTTTGCGAATGCGCGAAACACGGCACCGGTTACCTTTTCACATTTCACTGCGTTTTTACTAGAAACCCTGATGACGGTAGTTGTAGAAATAGAGTAGTGGAGTGCGAACCGTGTATCGTTCGTAATGTTTTATGGGAACTGAGTAACAGCCAGGATAGTGTCCGCCCACCAAGCGTTGCGAATAAGTGCGGGGCATTCAATTCCGTTTAATTTATCCACACAGCAATAAAAACAATTGAAGAATTTATACAAAAATTATTCAATTTATGTATGCTATAAAGGTCTCTTTCTCGATCTTCAGAAGCAATTATCCGACTTTGAATTGACCCATCAAGTCAATCAAACAACTAGTACATGAAACTTCGATTCCATCATTTGCTTGAGCTAAAACTTAAACATGAACTTGGAAAACTAGCTAACTAGGTCTGGAGACAAGATTTGATTTAGTGATACATCTGTAGACCTGTTAGTTCTGGATACATCGATAGCGCGGGACAATTACTACCAATTACATGAAATTTAAATATTAACTTCTCATCATCATTACCAAGAAGGGAATGTCAAGCTCCCGCTCGAATAGGTAAACTCAATCGGAGTGATATAACAGACTCACAGAAAACCGGCGTAAAGCAACCACAGTGTTGTGTTGGGCCATGTGAGTAAGAGGCCCAATCCTTCTCTTTTCTCAACCCTTCACCAATACCTAAATCTCCGAAACCCTAATCCCCAAAAGGCAGGCAACGCACTGGTAACACCTCCCAAACATTACTAAGATACCATTAAAAAAATCTAGTCTAAATGTTAAAATCACTACAAAAACGAAAGCAGTAAATTGTTCTATTAATATAAATCCTCCGTTTCTAGTCGACAATGGACGGAAAATATCTAAATGCTTCAGCTGCTTACAATTCCGCGCCAGTCGATACGGGTCATGTAATGGCGCCGGGTGCTACGATCTAGCAAAGTGTCACTACTTGCACACTGCTGCAATTTTTCAACCCTACACTCTGTTTAGAATATAGCCTTAGAAGTACACACTGCATTTCCGTAGTCCTTTATTTATGGAGTACAACTTAAAATGTGGTCGTAGTTAAGAGTTAAAGATGGGAGACGTTAAATACTTTTAGCTGAAATAATGTCGATTTCTGCTTTGCAAGAAGGTTTTCTAAATCCAAATGGCTGTCGCACTGAAAGTGTTACACTATCACATACTGTTTTCCCACTAATCTCCAACCGAACAACGTTGTCATTCAATCATAGGCCATAATTCCTTAGATATTCAATGAAATAATTTAAGTCAAGTACATCACAAAATTTATTATATCACGATTAATTTGAATTATTAAATAAAAGGTTATATTTTTTACATCATAGAGTGTGTTTTCACATCTCTTTAGCCATTCATATCTTAATTAAAGTGAAACAATACAACGTCACATCATCTCAAGAAATGAAGTTGTAACGATCACGTCAACTTATAGATTGCTCTCGTGACAAAATTTTATGTTAACCACACCAAGATAAGAGGATTTTACGATTCATATTCAAACGTTTATTACTGTAAGGGGGATATCCTAGCGATATTTAATATGGAACGTTACAACCATTGTTGATATACTTTATGTACTAATAAACTTTATGCTGGAATTTTAAGTCAACTTAAACCAATATACTGGGAGTAAGTATGGGAGAGCCAAGCTCCGGCACGAATGGGTCGGCTCGACCGGAGTGATACGACGGCCTCACAGTATACCGGCGTGAAACAACCACAGCGTTGTGTTTCGCCGTTACCGGAGGCCTACCCCTTCCCGATCCTGATATCCGCAACCCCTATCTCTAAAAGGCCGGCAACGCACTCGTAATTTCTTTGGTGTTTCGGGTGTCCATGGGCGGCGACGATTGCTTACCATCAGGTAATCCGTCTGCTCATTTCCCGACTTATACAATAAAAAAAAGTAACGCCATTTAAAAGTAGGTAGGTAGTA